ATGAATGTCAATTTATAATCCGGATACAATACGCTATACTGACATGTGAATATTTTGACTTTGTTTTCAGAAACACTACTCAGTCCTCTAGTCCCAATGTTGTAGCTGCTGGTCAGTCACTTTGTTATATAAACAAAAACGTGTTTGCCGTATGGTGAACTACAAGAAAATTTCAAATACTGGACGTTTCATTGCTTACACGTTTCCATGGCAATTTAATCAACTATCAGAAGTATGTTTTTTCACCACACTAAATGAAAATTCTTGATTAAATTGTAAACGTTGGCAATTGCAAACACAATGATAACAAAGCAACCTTGCAACATGGGATGGTGGTGTCCATCAGTTGATATTTTACTAACTATTTCCATGTCAACGAAATGAACAGTAAACATTATCTATAAAACAGCTGAATATAGCATTAAATAAATTATCACGTAGTTATCTTCATATGTTAATTACACGAGTTATGCATCGTATTGTGTATTATAATTGTAGGATTTGAGTACGAAAGAAATTCAACCAGACGACACTGATTACCGGTGTAGAACTACTTTTATTGCACCTCTGAATACATGATATTTAAATTAAAGTACATTTGAACTATAGAGGTCGCTATGTCATCATGACATTATGCTGAGTATATAAACATTACATCCCTTTCCACCTTGAATAAAACGGGTATATTGGCATATCAGGCATTATTTGTTGTTGTCAAATGTCATCTATGAGTGAGTTCTCAGTATTTCAATTACTTAACTGGACAGCAATTCAAAATCATGAAGTTCAAGTAAAATACAGGTAAATATGATGACTTAACAATAACTTAACTAGACAGCAACTGTTCAAAATTGTGAATTGGGAAGTTCGAGTAAATTACGAATAAAATCATGGATCTGTAGTTCGAGTAAATTACGAGTAAATACAATGAAATATAAATTATACACAACATTATCAAAAGACATTAAACTATTAAAAGTTCAAACCTAACTTAAGGGGAGAGGTTTCTAGCGCATTCACCTTCTGAATGGATATCCAGCATCCAGTTCCCTATGCTAAGTGATGTACTCTTGCAGGTAGGATGGCGGCTTGCGTTCACGAGTCGGATAACGTGGTGCAGGAGGGCTAGGTGTGGTCTCGGCATCATTAGTAGTATCCCCGACATCAGCTGAAATATCATTTTCTTGCTCATCAATTTGTATTGGAGGTTGGCATTTGAGGGTTTTGAAGAATGATGAATTTCGCGTTATCTTATGGTCACTTCCAGTTGCAGTGATCATGCTGCCTTTCTTAGTGGAGACTTTATATGGTTTTGTGTCGTACGGCAAAATTGTTTCGGAATGTTACCCTTCACGTCTGGCTAGTACGGTATTGCCAATTGCAATAGGAAGCTTGTTAATATTTTCACGAGCATCAGCATATGCTTTTATTTTATTTTTATTTTCGCTTGTTGTCGCGTTGACGTACAATCGCATCGTTGGACTTAACCGTAACTTCGGGTTTTCCGGGTGGTTCATTGGTTGATGAGTGTGGTGTAGCACGATAATTTCTTTGGAATCGGTATAGTTCCTGTTTAAATGGTTTGCCGTCAGTGTGTAATGTTCAGTAGACTTTTTTGATAGTCTTCGTGAATCGTTCAACTTCACCGTTGACTCTGAGCCATCTTGGAGTTATTTTGCGATGTTTGAATCCCAAATAATTAGCAAAGGATTCAAACTCTGTTCCGTTGAATTGTGGTCCATTATCTGTGTGTGCAATCAACGGTGTACCAAGTAGTGAGAATATGCGATCTAATCGCGGAATCACTGCTCTGGCTGAGGTTGAACTGCTAACTTCAACTTCAGGGAAGCGACTGTAGTCATCAGTAATAACAAGTAGGTATTCTACTTTTGCGAGATCAACGAAATCAACGCTAACTTCTAGCCATGGTCCATATGGAAGTGTGGACATTTTTAGCAGTTCGTGGCTCTTATAAACTGTTGTGGCTTGGCATACAATACTCGAGTTGATTGTTTGTTCAACCATTGCATCGATTTGTGGAAACCAGACCTTTTCTCGTATGAGTTGTTTGGACTTTACAATTCCTTATGGCCTTCATGCGCTATATCGATTATCTTTTTTCGTAGTATTTGCGGAATGATAGTCCGATTACTACGAAGAACAAAATCTTTGGAGGCAGTGATGGTGAGTTTATAACGTGTTGCATGTAGACTTCGCAGGGTTGCCCCATTTTTAGTTTCCTTTGTATGTTTCAAGTTTTTCATACCATTTCCGATCATGCATTGCTTTTATACAGTGTTGCAGGGCGTCATCCTTTAGCGTTGCCTGCTGTATATCTTGGATACGCCATGTTTTGGGCACTGTGTGTTGATTTATGAAGTTGATGTGTTCTTCAGCGATTTTGTTATTCACGACTTGACTGTCTTGTTGATGATAATGAATGACATGACATATAGTCAGCAAGATTTAGCTTTCCAGACTGGTAAACTACCTTATAGTCATATTCTTGGAGTTTAAGTATCCATCTTTCTATGCGTGTTGGTGCTTTTGATGTTGGGGTGTTGAATAATGGTACAAGTGGTTTGTGATCAGTTGTTACTTGAAACTGACTTTCATGAAGATACAGATGAAAGTGTAATATACCCCATGTGACGGCTAGTGCCTCTCTTTCAGTCTGTGAATATCTCTGCTCTACCGGTGTGAGAGAGCAGCTAGCTAGTGTAACAATAGACATTTGATTATTGTCATTATGCTGTGTTAATATAACTCCTAGTCCAACTGGACTTGCATCAACAAGGACTGTTTTTGGTTTGGATTAAAGTATACTAGAGTAGAGTCTACCACTAGTTTCTCTTTTATTTTGTCTAGAGCATTCTGTTCCTTTTCGATTCATTTCCACTTTGCTGATTCTTTGGTTAGCTCTCGCATTGGTTCAGACATTGTAGCTAGGTCTGTAATGAAATGCCCGCAGTAATTAACCATACCAAGGAATGATTTTACCTCTGCAGCATTTTGTGGTGGCGGAGCATCTCTGATTGCAGCTACTTTCTTTGGATCAGGCGAGACACCAATGTGACTGAATATACAGCCGAAAAACTCTACTTGACTCTTTTTGAATCTGCATTTGTCCTTGTTGAGTGTTAGGTTTTTCTCACGTAAGCGCTGTAAACAGGCATCTAGTCGTTCATTGTGCTCTTGTTCATTTCTACCAAATATAAGTATGTCGTCACTAATATTTAATATGCCATCTAGTCCCTGTAGTGCTAACTGGATGTAGTTTTGAAACAATTCAGCAGCTGAACACACACCAAAGTTAAGACGTTTGTAGCGAAATAATCCGCTATGAGTAGAGAAGACAGTTAAACGATTAGACTTTGGATCAAGTTCGATTTGATGGTAACCAGCATTCAAGTCGAGTTTGGAAAATACTCTTGATACCCACGGTGGTTGTTCATCTCTAACTCTTTCTATGATGTCCAGATCAAGTAGTTTTTGTAACTCTTTTTCTGTTTTCTTGCGTACATGAAATGGTATTCGTCTATGCGGTTGTACGATGGGTTTGATTGACTTCAGCTTACCAATACCATGGAATAGGTCACTGTATTTGCTATGCCAGTAGTCAGCATCGACAGCAGCTACGGCATTTACTTTGTCAGATATCATGGTCATGTTGAGTTTACTTATTGTAGCTAATAAGCGTATCACCATCTGGTTTGGTAACTAAGAACATGACTGAACATGACTGAGTTCCATGTGATAAGTCAGCTGAAATAGTGCCAACAACTGGTAGTGGTTCTTTCGTACCGTATGCATAAATACGAATTGTTTGGTTTGTGTTGAGTTCAGGTTTCTCAGGTAGACTGTTGTAAGTTGCATACCTCGTTATTTTTTATGTAGCACCAGTATTAGTAAGCATGGGAAGCGGTATATTGTTCACACATTCAGTAATCAAAGGTTTTTTGCCACTGTGGTGTGAGTTAACAGTGAACACATATTCTTCCTCAGAACTATCTACTTCTAGTTGAACTGCTTTAACTTTGACCTTCTTGGCAGTCCCATTACTTTTTTTGGATTTACAGCACAGCAAAGTGATTCTTTTTCTTACAGAAATTGCAGGTTTTACCTATTACAGGATACTCACTTTCATGCGGATATTCTCCGCCACAACAGAGACAGATCTTCTTTTCACATTTACTCATTTGGGGTTGACGTTTATGGGGTCGCTATTTGCGGAATTTCACTGCACTGTCAGTAGCTGACTCAGTAACAGGTTTTTCCATACCAAGTGCTTGAGATTCAGAAACCTCTAATGATCCAGCTAAATCAAGCAGCTTTTTCAGTGTTTGTTCTTCACACAGCACGCGACGTCTCAAACGAGCCGAAAGACACCCGCCAATAATTTGTGATTTAATTTCCTGATTTTTGTCATGGAATTCACAATGTTCAGCAAGCTTTTGTAGTCTTGTTTTGAACATGTCAACAGTTTCCCCCTCCTGTGCCAGTGTCAGACAGTGTGTCAAAAACATCCATCACTTCTTCCTCAGCGTTGTGCAGTAATAGGGCTCACTTCTGTTTATCTTCAGTGACAGCAAATGCATCATTACTTCGAGTCTTTTCACATATTTCTCCCATCTTGGACCAGTTGATCCAGTATCAGTATGGACAGAGAAACTTGGAAATGATGGCAAATTTTGGGTCGCCATGTTTGTTGATAAGTTAATACTCACTGTGACTGCGCGTACTTGTGTGGCGGGAATGTCGTCAGTTTTTTAGACTTTCTCCTGCTTGTTTTTTTATCCACTTCTCCCAAATCGTAGTATTCAGTCTTGTGTTCTATTAAAAAACACTCTTGATCACTGGAGTTCTATTTGCATCCTCGTCGCCAGTGTAGGATTTGAGTACGAAAGAAATGCAACCAGATGACATTGATTGCCGGTGTAGAACTACTTTTATTTCATGTCTGACCCTGATATATGATATTCAAATTAAAATACATTCGAAATATAGAGGGTGCTATGTCATCATGACATTATGCTGAGTATATAAACATTACAATCATATACCTCGTATCATTATTGGAAGTGCGCCCTCACATCAAGGCACTATTAGGTAATGTGATCTTACAAAGGCATAATTATACACGAGGCGTAAAATGCCAATTCTAAATTTATACTTAAGTAGTATACGTAGTTATTGTTAAAACAGTAATGTCATCTGATTACATTAGTCAGACAATTTTGTAAAACATTGGTTGATTTTAGAATTGGTCAGACATATTTTCAATTAAATAAATAGATACGCAAAGCTGGAATGATATTCGTCTTCAAGCAATCCTAAACTTCGTATAAAATGTAAAAATTTATTCCCCATAGCGTTACAAGGCTGGGCAATACAC